ACCTTTCAGGAGAGTATCGAGACTGTGCAGAAACGATGTATTGAATTGGAATATCCACTTCTAGCAGAGTACGATTTTCGAAATGACACAATGAATCCCAATCTTGGTATCGATTTGAAACCTTCAACAACTCTACGTCCGTACCAAGAGAAGAGTCTCAGAAAAATGTTTGGAAATAGTCGCGCTAGGTGAGGGGCTTTTCAGCTTGATGCTCTTCTGACCTCCAATTCTAAAGCAAATGATGAAGAAATTCTACCCTTCGACTAACGAAAATTTCGAACACGCTAAGAGAAGCTCAAAGTTCCTGGACAAGAAGTTATCACTTCTGCATACAAATTAGAAATGCTTGATTACAATTAGCCTACTGGACCTTTTTTATGAGGTTTCTTCAACTAGAGATAGCATAATTAATGTGTAGAGACTTCTCGGAGGTCAAAAGTCGATCATCTTTTTTCTTTTGTAGCGAGACAGCGATAGACAATGTCTAGATTCCTTTACTACTCTCACTTTGTACAGATCTGGTGTCATCGTTCTGCCCTGCGGTGCAGGTAAAACATTGGTTGGCGTAACAGCGGTTACAACTGTCAACAAGCGCTGTCTTTGTCTCGCGAACTCTAATGTATCTGTGGAACAGTGGAGAGCCCAATTTAAGGTTTCATTTATGATTTTAGAGCTCAGAAGGTTTAGTCTATCCCAATTCAATCCCCTCTGCTGCCTAATGGTAATTAGAGAATTACATGTAAAAATTTTAGTTGTGGTCAACAATCACTGACAAACAAATTGTTCGGTTTACTCGTGAAGCAAAGGATTCTGTTCCGCATGGAGCGGATGCGAGCAAGGTGATAAACTTATACTTGGGACCTACATCAGCTTTTAGCAAATTGAATCAATTTTTTAAGCCTGTGGTTTGTATCAGCACTTATTCCATGGTAGCTTACGCGGGAAAACGCACTTATGCAGCTGAAGAGGCAATGAAGTTCATTGAAAGTCAAGAATGGGGTCTGCTGTTACTGGATGGTAAGAAGTTATAGATTTCACAGAAACAGATCTCTTCGAAGGTTTTAAAACCAAATTTCATCGCATATGAAGATGTTTAGAATGCTAATCTTCAAATGGTGAAAGGTTTGAAATGTCTTTCAGAGGTGCACACTATTCCTGCAAAGATGTTCCGAAGAGTGCTTACTATTGTACAAGCCCATTGCAAACTGGGTCTAACGGCCACGCTTGTTCGTGAAGATGA